AAACAAAAAGTAAAAACCAATTTTCAGATTTCGGTTTTCAAAGGAATCAGTGGGACTTATTTGTTGCTAATTCGTTCCAAACATTGATATTTCTAGTTCATGATGAGTCGACATACAAATCGGGGGAGGTTAGCAACAAGAGATGGTTTATAGGAGAAGATGCTCCGTTCATTTCCAAGGGCAGAGGCAGGAGTCGAATGGCCAGTGATTTCATTGTAGCTCACCCTTCTGGTCCTTTCTTTTCTCTTTCCCCGTTGGAGTGGGAAGAGACTGTGAAGAAACATTCTCAACTAGCCGGTGAGCTTTTTTGATCGGAGTTCCTAGGACAGAAACCAATTTGAAACTTCCTGTTTCCTAGTTGACAACGGACAGGATTACATCGAACGAACTGCCTCAGCCTCGATCAATGTAGGATACGATGCATACTTTGACAATTCAACTGTCTTGCTACAATTCGAACGTCTGTTCCAGATGCTCAAATTTAAACAAGCCTTCAAAGGTTTACAAGTTGAGATAGTCGTGGATAATGCCAGGTATATTAAACGTCTGTAATCCTTAGAAATAACCTGCACTTGTACGTTTTTCAAGGACACACACTGCCAAATCACACAGTGTATGATTTTAACAAAGGAATTGGTACCAAGTGTCTCGTGGAGAAGATAGAGTACAAAGGTAATCATTTAGTAATAACTTTGCTTCCAAAATCAATTGAATAACATTTCTGACTTAGATTCGAAAAATCAGCTGCGCGTCCTGGAATGCAAATTCCAAAGTGGAATCAACAAAGGAAAGATGAAAGGTCTACTAGAGATAGCAAAAGAGCTGAATGTCAAACATCCAGCAAAGATCAGCGTTCCCGATTTCCGGAATCTCATGTCTGCTCATCCTGCATTTCAAACAGTGAGAAATTTTCTTCTTTCGAATATTTAAACTTGATTTTCTGTGCCGCCTAGGTATCACGTCTGGAAATACTAGCCGAGAAGTGCAATGTCGTTATCACCTGGTGCCCCAAATTCCACTGTGAACTCAACGTTATTGAGGGACTTTGGTGTGGTTCAAAGTGTTTTGTACATCGACGAACGGACCAAACTTACTCCACAATGCTGCAATTAATTGAAGAATCCCGTGGGCACTTTGAAAAGGAGAAAATTTATCTCAAACTATTCCGCCGGTTCTGGCGCTGCTTGAAAGCATATGAAGATGGAGGGGGACGTATCAAGATGTTATGAAAATATACTTGTCTTCCAAGTGCACGGGCGTGAATGCGAGCCACACTCGCGTATCGAACAGTAACGTCTAAGTACTTGAACTTTACCCTTTGATGTTTTCATGACTGTCTGCTTTTTTGTCCTGTTTTTCACGTAATGCCATATTTGTTGAACTCAAAATATGAGAAGAGAACAGTTGAAGCGGAACAGAACATCCTATTCATAGTCTTATCTTTTGTATTATTGCCAACTAATGTACAAAAACCCGTCAAAACCCCGTAGAAATCCCTTGAAGATCCTCTGAAGATTCGCTATCCTTCTGGACGATACTACCATCGTCTTCTTCATCGTTTTTTACTCTTAGAAAAGTATTTGCACCTCAATCGCATCCAAACTAATAAAGTTCACAAGATATGACGTGGTTGTTTTAACTGAAGCACAATGAAGACCCTATAACTTTTGAAAGAAAAATTTTCTCAAAAATCAGCACGTATAACTTTGTTCAGTTTTTCATGGCGCGTCGAATGACGTCTTATTTCAAATTTTTAGAATTTCCCTTCGAGACTTGATTGGATTGAGAGTAAAAGTTCCTGGTTTGGATTTTCGGCTGTACCAAGAATCCAGTTTAAGGTTCGAAATACTCAAAAGCACATGCGTAGATGCAGTTTTTGACGCTGAATCCGAATACGAAAGCCGGAGATCTATGCGACCTAACGGTGCAAAGTTATCGAGTTTTTAGTGCAAAACTACCCATTTTAGAAAACACGACACTACTAAAGCTTTTCGAGTTTTTGACGGGGAAAACTTTGTCTAAAAAATCTCGTGCCCAAATATTCGTGATCAGCGTTGAAAACTGCATCGAATGAGGTGTAAATGAGCCAAATCTAAAATCTGCTCCAATCCTGCCTTAGGGGCATCTTATAACTTTTAGCAATAATAAAATTTAAAAACTTTAACGAATGCTGTTTGTTACTTTAGTCATATGAAAGAATTGGTTTCTTCAAAAGAAATGCTGAAATTCGAAGCTTTATTGAGTGAAGATCAAAAGAAAGCGTCAAATGAATATGGTATGCAATACTGTGGCCAAACACTAGCATTTCTATGTTTTGTTTTTAAGGTGATAATCTATTACAATATAATGTAATTGAACATAATATATTTTGTGGCAAAAAGGTTAAAACAGAAATTGAATTTAAAGAGTTTTACGAAACTTATCTCGGATAAAGTAAGTTTGATATAGATGCCATTGATCCCGAACTTCTATGCGGTGCTCTTCAGTTAGCAATTCAACATTAATGTTTCTCTGGCATTTGTTTAGGTTAAAGAAGTTAGCCAAATTCTGATTCGTGGTGGACGATTGAATGCTGAGATTAATGAAAATTCAGGCACATTAATATATTCGGGTAAGCTATGTAACTCGCTTTCAACCACAGAATTTTATTACAGAATGCTTCACGAGTGTCTACGCAATCTTCAGTCATTTCATGGTGAATAAATAACCGTGAGAGTGTGACAATGTTAGTAAGACGTGCGCGAAGAAAAGGTGATGTGTGGATACGATACAAGGGGAAAAGAGGCTGCGACTTCCACAGAGTTGCGCAAGGTTTCACGAAGGGCCATGGAACGAACTAGAGAAAAAGACTAGTTTGAAAAGCGTAAGAATGACTTTCAAAATAAAGAGTTACATTGAATGTAACTCTTTATTTTAAGATTCGCTTTCACTGTTGGAAAAAGCTGACTATATTTATCAAAATATGTTTAAAGAGTCTCATTCAACATCGTCATCCTCATCGGCATATTCAAATACATCTACATCTACCAGAGGTACAAGACAAAAGTTTCGTTCCAAACTACTCGCTCATTGTCATCAGAATGGCTCGAGACCAATGTTAAGATGTGAACCATCGAATAAAGAGTATCCGGCAGAACATGTTAGAGCTGGTCATATTTTCAAAAAATCATTTGGAGATTCATTATTGAACGACTTTTTCAATTTGAACGATATACATGAACCAAGTAATGGCATTCTTATGTATGCACCAATTGAATATCATTTTGACCACGGAAACTTGTGTCTGCTGAAAAATTCATGTGACAATCATTATCATATTCAAATTTTATCTGATGAACTGAAAAATAAATTAATTATCGACGAAGCAAAAAAAGTTCTTAAATCAAGTTATCACGCACCGTCTGAAACAACAATGACATTCAATGATTTAGAACAACAACATGTAGATCTTCCCGGGAGATCTAAAAGGTTAGTTTGTTTTCATGCATCATTAGCAATTAAACGACATGAAACCAATCATGATCATTCAAGCATTAATATAATTGAGTTTTGGTCACCCGAGTCAATCGATCGAGTTCAACTTTATGAACAAAAAGTCAAAGCATGGTTTGAATTGAATGAGAAAGACGATGGTGGTCCAATTAAAGAAGTAAGTAAAACCATGCGAAGCGTGCTTTACTCTCAATACTGGGCAGGCACAGCCGTGTTAAGTCAGAGTTTTGCCTGATTTTTACAAGAAATTGTAGATTTTGCTGATTTGTGTTTATGTTTAAATGTTCTTGATTTGAATCGTTGTTTGTTTCGATATATTGAGATCTATTGTGCTAGTTGAATTTTTAATTGCCAACGTTGAGATAAAGATATAAAATTAATTCTTTACGTTCTATGATTACTTTCACGTTTAGGACTTATTTGGAAACGTTGATGAGGAACATAAACAAGTGGATTCATCAAATTCTCATTACGAAGACAATATGGATTCATAAACTAACTCTTTTTTTAAATTTAATTTCATGAACAGTCGCGGCTACGCATATTTTTTAAATCGCTAAAGTAAAGCTAGTCATTTTTATTTTTTTGAATATATGAAACGAATATTTTATGAGTATAAATTATTTAATCTATTGGTTATTTGATACTTGCTTTATTTATACTCTATTTGTTATGACGATGTTCGCATTTTGTCGAATGATAAAAAAAATATTTATTGTCATTACGAATGTAAATCGAGTAATTGAAAAATTATTAATTGTACTTGATTTCACTACACAATTGATTAACAATCAGAATTCCAACGTTTTAATGCTTCGTTTATCATCACCTAAAACAGGAGGTAAACTAATGTTCTATTGCCATAAATAAACGATATTCTATTCTATTTTATTTATGTTCTCAAAGCAATTTAATATTGACGGTGATTCACCAAGATCTCCAATTTGATCTCGTAAACTCACCTTTTAATATCTCTGTTAATGGTTTGTTTCTACGTGTGTTCTATATATGAATCAGATGATATTTTCCATGTTCACAATTTTATAGTCTTTTTTCTGCTATATTGTTTTGTTTATGTTTCTAAACTTTTAATGAATGAAGAATATGCACAAGATTATATCTGTTAATTTGATTGAAATAATAGAGTAATTAGTTTTTCACTTTGACCAACAACACTGTATATTGAATGACCACAGTGTAACATCCTTATGCACCTCTCTCACGGTTGTATGAATCCACTACATTAGAGTATACTATCATTATAATTTCCTGAGGATGTGACTACTGTACAAGTTTCGCTTAGTTTCTATTTTTGAGAAGACACTTTGGACTATCTATCTATGCGGAAAGATCGACCTATTTCTATATTAGTTCACATAGATCCAAACTGGTTTTCCAAAGATCTGTTCAAAAACCGGTTTCAGAATTCTTTTAAAAAATCGTTTTTGGTTGTGAAAAACTAGCCTCAAGTGTCTGCTTTCGGTTGCTGGAAACCGCAACGTTCTATCTTACGCTGTTATTGAGTTATTAAAAAAATAGCAACCGGCACTGCATTTTGGCGCCGATAGTAGGTGTCAACACAAAAATCTCGTCAGAGTAGCCACAAATAAAGAACTACTTCAACATACACGTAACTTGTGCTCCGGCTCTGCCGTCGCTAAAAATACTATTCCTCGGGCTGAGTGTATAATTACCATCCTTTTAGTGATCTAATGTGTTCGTCTGTCTGTGAGAGGACAGAAAGGTGAGTATCAACTTTCACACTCTTTATTCCAGAGAAATGCTACTACAAAAGATTTTAATGTTATGGCTCAGACTTGTCGCCGTACTTCTGATAACTGCCATCACACGATAACTTTCTGATAACTGCCATCACACTGCCATATACACGATCGACTTTATTCACATCATAACCATATTTGATTAATTAATTCATTTACTATTCGAATATTTACGGTAAGAATGATTAACACTTGATAGCTCGTAATATGGTCTTGCAAGGATATAATAAATATGTGAATGGAAATTCTTCATCTGCTACTCTGTTATCTTGCCGTTTTGTCAGTGTTATCCTTTTCTCCTCTGTTTTTGCACAGACTTTCGAATATTAGACCGATAAATAGTAACAGAGTGGATGCTAAGATATTTGAGCAGAATTCTACATTTCTTTTGCGGTAAGGCACGAAAACGAATATTATGATCCAAGAACGGCATTAACTTAGGCTGATCATTTTACGCGAAGCAGTTGGCAAGGAAAATGAGAGATGACTCCGAGATGTCTCCGAAAAACTTTCTATGGCAAATTCACGTAACTCATGCTTTGATCGCAAGATATTGAATAAATTAATTTTCCCGCTATTGTCAGCTATTATAACTAGCCAAACTTAAAACGTCGACTTTAGCGCCATAGTGTAATCTTGCTTGTGATTGCTCTAATTTTTTAATCAGTAGATAACAAAGACCTTATTTCTTTACTTGTTATCACGATTATCACTGAAAAACATAGTAGAAAAAATGTTGAAATTCATAATTAAACAAGGTAACGCTCGTCTCCACTCGCTCGGTCCATTGACTTTATTAAGTTGGATCTGCGCAGGCGAACGTCCTTTCGTGACTTTTAAATCGAACACAATGCTCACACCACAATCTCGATAACCGTTATTTGGGCGTCACCTACCGAAAAAAAGTATTTCCTTTTTTGATGCGTTTATGTTTTAAATTTCTTTCATATTATTCAATTGTAGTTGATAACTTGATCTTTAGCAAATATACATTTGGTTTTATCCAATGACTTATAGCTTTCTCCATAAGTCGTCACGGACACTCTGTTTAAAATCATTTTGAGTTTTTTGTTTACTGGCCTAAAACCGCTTTTTCGCCGCTCCGAATTGGGTTGCACAATAAAACGTTTTGCCGAATGGAAATGCCAGTGGTGAGGACATACCTGAGTGGCTTAGCAAGTTTCGTAGTGACATACTTCATTTATAGACAACAAACAAAGCAGTTTAAAAAGAACGTCGTTTCACACACGTTGTGTACTTACTTTTTTAAATGAATAAAATTAAAACTTAGACTAAAGAACAATCTCCTAGAAACAATCTTGCTCAAGATCTATTTTCTCGCCTACAATAAATGTATTTCTTGCCTTACTGGCAAGAAAAAAGCAAAACAATGAAATGCCAGGACCGAGATTCGACCCCGCGATGTAGTAAGATAATGCGTCGAATAGACCTATAGACCTCTTGAAAAACTCATAGTTAGCGAGGAAAACTAATTACTGTTTTTCTCAGCAGTCAGATATCGTAGACTTTCGATGACACAAAAAAAAATTGCACAGAATCAAATTTGAAACAAAATAGAACACCGAATTATAGTTTTCTGGAAAAGGCGTTAATTAGCGAGAAAAACGCTAATTTTGATAATTAGCATTTTTTACCCAGAAAGAAGCATTTGGCAAATTTAGTACCGCAACCAAAAATGTCAGAACTTAAATTTCGCACATTTTATTTGCTGGTATCAACTCTGTACGATATTTTCGCTACAAGAAATAATTTTCGTGCAGTTAATCGTCAAAATAGATTTTTCTTGCAACAGCATAGTTTCTTGCATCAAGAAATACCCAAAAAAATTTACATTTTGATTCTGGCACCAAGAAATGCATAAGAAAGACCAAGAATCATTTCTTGTCTAAGAAATGTCCCAAGGTCTTCCTTTCACAGCTTCAAGAACTTCCACTAGGGCTCTTAGCAGTGTCTTATAAAATTCTTATAAGCGGCTTAAATAAAATTGTTTA